TGCTACCAGACCATTTGCGGGTTTTTCAGTTTATCCTATACAGACTAACTCAGCTACCCCCTGAAGCTTCTAATATCTCACTAAGCAGAGTCACTCTTACTATAATATGAAAGAGGGGTTGCTCCATTTATCCCTATGGAAAACCCAGAAGAAGCAGCCACAGTATCTGTCATGAGCTATTGAATCCCATAGTAGTCCAAGCTAAGCTACTGTTACCCTCAGGTAGTTCCTAGTCCAGTCCTAAGCTTTATTGCTTACACCTTGTAGCTGTATCTCTTACACATTTGTTAGTGCGTAATATACACATCTAGGTGACACTTTTCTCCTTTCCTCCATTTAATTATCTGTCCAAGTTCTTGCATGAGTAGTGTAGCATCTGAGCACAGCTGCCGAGTAAAAGACACCAACCTCTCTCTTCCATCCCTCCCTACCACTGAAGGCGGGTTTAAGAGAGTTTGCATAATTGTTTTAACTACTGTTGATGATATAAAAATGGGATTTATTCAAGGTGAGTTGGGGGAAAGCTAGGGCTAGGTGGGTAAATGTATGGAGGGAATGGAGTGAAGTTAATGGCTGTTGTGATTTTGTCTTTCAGTGCTCTTTGTAGTCTGGATCTGGCTTCTGTGAGGGTTTTGTTTTCCATGACCACACATCTTCCCATAATAACCAACAATTGAATTCTCCGTGTTATGGGAGGTTGTGGTCACAGTGAGAAAGAGATCTCTCAGGCAGCCAGATCTTTGAAATTCACACCATCAACCTTGAACCGTATTCTGTGTTTAGTTGCCCTCTATATTCTACTAGAATAAGTAACTAATCAGACTTCCTGAGACTAATGAACCATGGCCAATAAGGAGCATGTGCTTATAAGTTACAAGACAGGCAGCTAAACTTCCTTTGTGCCATGCACTTTAATTCTAGTGACAATACCAAAGATTTTTTTTAATAAAATAAAATAAAATAAAATAAAATAAAATAAACTTTAAACAACAACAGGCAGTTGAATGTTGTAAAATGATTCGTTCCACTTTAAGTAACAGGTCATTTTACCCAATCACTAAAATCCTACCTTCCTTTTGTTTCTAGCAGTGGAAAAGAACAGAGAAAACTATTGAGTAGCTTGGACTGTCAGTGAAAACAAATACTTGTTTTACTCTTACTTTCCTAATGAAACTGGTGATCTTTGGCCTCTTCTTTAGGCTAGAGAGGCAGTGAGAGTGGCAGAGCTAATATCCCCCACAGCCCACAGCAATGCTGACGAAACATTTTAACGTGAGAACACAGTGTGCTAGTCAGGCACTGCATTCCCTCAAGAGAATACAGTAGACATTGTATGGATTACATTTAACGAGACTCGGACATTAAGAACTTCAGTCCTCTTGTTTGATGGTAAAGGTCAAGAGAAGTCATTCTAAACTCAGTTTTCTTTCTAGGTTTATTATGCCTTTCTCAGTCCTTCTTTCTTTTGGTCAGTTTTTTTTTTTTTTTTTTTTTTGTTACATAGCAGGCAACCTTTTATTTATTTATTATTAATTTTTTATTATTATTATTAGCTTTGTTTAGTAACTCTAACAACATTATACAGTAAGTTTCACCAGGAAAAATTATCAGAATACCACAAAGCATCTCTACAGTCCCTTCAATAAACCCTTCTGGAGTACAAGGATCTAGTGGAAATTTACAGACCTTCACTTCAGAAAATAATCTTGGTCAATCTTCAAATTCAGAGGAAGAGAAGGATCAAAATGTTAGCTTTGAGCTGAAGACAGGGGGTCTTTTGTTTGTTTTTTATCTGTTAAACACAAGTTCTCACAGGAATCATCCACACTGTGCAGCAGTTAAAAACAATAGATGGATAGTAACTCCATGATTGAAAGCTTGGATCATGCAAGACAGGGATAGAAAGGGGCTGGAGTGAATGAGCTGCTCCTGGGCCACAAAAGCTAGTCATGTTGGCAAGACATAGGAGGGGAGTAATGTTCACCTGAAAAGAGGTGGTACAAATTACTTCCTCTCACCTGCAGCACCAAGAGAGTTGTTTCCAGGACTCCTCTTGGGATGGTGCAGCTTTCTGCTGCCCATACTCAGGGGCTACATCTATATTGGCAAGATTTTGTGCAAATACTTTTAACACAGGAGTTTTTGCGTTAAAGTATTTGCGCAAGAGAGCATCTACACTGGCATGTGCCTTTGCGCAAGAGATGTGCTTTTGTGCAAAAGTATCTGTGCCAGTGTAGACGCTCTCTTGCGCAAGAAAGCTCTCATGGCCATTTTAGCCATCGGGCTTTCTTGCGCAAGAAATTTATATTGCCTGTCTACACTGGCCTCTTGCGCAAGAACAGTTGTGAAAGAGGACTTATCCCTGAGCGGGAGCATCATAGTTCTTGCACAAGAAGCACTGATTTCATACATTAGAACATGAGTGTTCTTGCGCAAGAACTCCCCGTCAGTGTAGACAGGCAGCATGTTTTTGCGCAAAAGCAACTGCTTTTGCGCAAAATCATGCCAATGTAGACACAGCCAGAGGGTGTCCCAATGGCTCAGTCATACCTGGGACTGATTTCTCTGGGCCCTGGGTAATGTGGGAGGGTCTTGGCTCCAGGGCACTAGAAGGGGCAGTGCCTCAAGCAGAAGGAGTAGGGCTAGGGGCAGCCAGCCCTAAGCGCCACCTGCTCCACATTGCGCCCCACCCCCCACCATCACCCCAAACAGCCCTTGGCACTGCCCAGAGCATGCCAAGCAGGGTTCCAGCAGTGATTGAAAGGGCCCAGAGCTCCACTGGACAGTGGTAGCCTACAGCTCAAAGCCCTTCTATATCAAGGAGCCCTGAGGCAACTACCCCTTTCCACCCCCACCCTCCCATCAGCAGCCCTAGGCTCAGTCTAGCCCTTTGGGAGCACAACATCTCTAGAAGAACAAAGATGAGCTTCCCACCTTGAGATTAGTTTGAAGAACGGCAAGGAAAATCCAGTGCAAGAGCCTTTTGTCTTGTTTCATTTGGGGAATCTTGCCAATGCATGATACCAAAGCCATGTGCAATTTGTAAATACTTAGCAGATCATATCATCCGCGCATAAACTGAAAAGCCAAAACATGACAGAGACAATTTTAACTTTGGCATAAGTCAACACCACTGTTGATTTCAATAGACATTGCACCTGCTTGCTTTAGGGATTCCTTTAAAAGGATCATTTACAGGGGAGCAAACACAGGGAAAATATTTATACAAAGAGGAAATCTAATAGCATTCCCTTGTTTATTATTTCATGTATTTGCTTCTGAATGAGATTCTCCTCATCACTTCAGCAATGAATGGAGTGCATCTCATGTCAGCAATTCAGCCTTATGAGTGGAACTCTGGCCCAGCTGAAATCAATGGCACAGCTCCGGTTGATGTCAGTAGAGCCAAGATGTCATCCTATATCTTAGGCTACGTCTAGACTACATTCCTCCATCGGCAGAGGAATGTAAATGAAGCACTTCGAAAGTGCAAATGAAGCCGGGATTGAAATATCCCGCGCTTCATTTGCATAGTCACGTAATGGCACTCTTTCGAAAAAGCACTATTTCGAAATTGAAACCGCAGTCTAGATGCGGTTCTTTCAAAAACAGGATGCTTTTTTGAAAGATCCCGCTTTCGAAAGAACCACGTCTAGACTGCGGTTTCAATTTCAAAATAGCACTTTTTTGAAAGAGTGCCATTATGTGATTATGCAAATGAAGTGCGGGATATTTATATTCTAGGTTCATTTTCACTCTTGAAGTGTTTCATTTACATCCCTCTGACGACAGAGGGATGTAGTCTAGACGTAGCCTTAGTGGCAGGAAATAAAGAGAAAATGGGTTGAAAAGGAACTTACAATGAGATCTTCATTGGGGTAGATTATCCAACATCTTCCTCTAAAACCTCTGGCTCTGACACTGTCTGAACTAGGATTATGGACTAGAGAGGCCACAGCTCTGCTCCAGAATGGCAAGTTGTAGGTTGCTATGAGATGTACGGGATACTTCATCATGGAAATGAACTCAGACTAGAAACCTGGATCCAAGGGATTTCCCAATGTGGGGCTCTTTCTGACAGCTTCATTTCTATATCTGGGAAGAGTGAACGTTTTCCCTAATGTCAACGTCCCTCTGCAAAAGGCAAATGTATGAGAAGGAAGCGATGTAGCCCATTTGCAAAAATGGTGCGCCAGAATGCTAGACAAAGGCCTGAGTTTGTTCTTTGGTCTCAGGCACAGTGTCCTAGCAGAGGGTATGGAGATGTGATGGGGCAGTGTGCAAAACCCTCAGCGGGAAGATAGCGCTTCCTATCACTCAGCTGCATCCCTACAGTGCAGATGTTCCTCTCCTCTTCAAGGGGAGTGATGTTGATTTTAACATGAATCATCTAGGGTAAATGGGAGGACTTAAAGTGGAGAAAGGCTTGGTGGGCTCCAACAAGATTTGGCAGGCCCTTCCTCCGCCTCATGGAGAGAGGGCTGAATGCTGTTTTGCACTTCTCTCGTTCTCCGATGTTAAAAGTTAAAGCCATTGACGCTGCCCAGTGTTCCACTGAAAGAGCAAACAGAAATAATAGTGTCCATCCTCAATGCAATGCTGCAGGTTTGTGTCCTTTCACCTGTCGCATCACAGTGTGTTCCATGGTGGGGTATAGATCAGAAAATACAAATATTTTATATCTACAGTCAGAACTTTTCCGATGACTTTTCAAATGACCATTCCTCACAAAAATCTCTGAAGCCATGAGACCTGAAGTCAGTGAGGTATGTACCATTTAAAAATGGACCTTTAAAGGAAAACAATTGTTAATTAGCTAAGCAAACAGTTTCAATCTAGTGCAGACAGCTAAAGATGGAGAGTTTATTGCCTAAACACCTAACCTCCAAAGGGAGGAAAAGGAAAAGAATTTAAGGAGTTTTGTAGAAGAAGAAAATAAGGAAGTTAACCAGCTGAGGAAATGTTCTATAATTTTTAAACATGTTTACATTTTTACTTACTTCATTTCCACATGGGTTGAAACACACCAGAGGCTTCTAATTAGCCCCAATAAGGAAGCAGCCCTAACAAGAAAAAAAAACAATGGTTACTCATCATCTAGGCATAAAAAATGTGTGTCTTACTATGTTAAGTCTTTAATTTTAAATCCATCTCTTGAAACAACTCTTCCTATTTCATGATTAAAGACAAGAGGCCTGCGCTTTTGTGGTCAACATAACTTGATTATAAATCATTGTTCTGGCTGATGGAGTCAGCATTGAAGCAAGAGAGCCAGAGTGGTGAAATCAGAATGCCACAGGACATTACTGTGTTCATGTATCATTGAAAATCTGTTTTAAGACTTAAAACTGAAGTTAAAAATACAACAAAGACAGAAATTCATATTAATCTGAAACTTTCTCTTTCTCGCCTTGTCATAAAAGCTCATTGTTCCTGCAACCACTCTCTCTTATCTATCCACAGGAGTTTGCCAAAAGGAAATGGACACCTCATTTGAAGAGAGGAAAGTGTGGTACTATTTGAATCCTGTTTAAATCTTCAGATGTAGTATTTTTCTCTTCTACTGAGGGCAAACTATTTCTTTAGAGAGAAAAATCACTGGAAATGTAACTGAACTAGCCATACACAAGGCATCTTTATTGTAAGCAGTAGTTGAGTTGTTCCATTTGTGCTCTTGTTTTTAAAAATTCAATTATAGCAGGGAATTGGTTTCTATCTGAGGCTATGTCTGCTCTACCAGGTTATTTCAAAATAATAACGCCCGAAAAAAATATTTCAAAATAGCGCATCCACACTACAGGGAATCCTCAAAACTACTCTGAGGTGTCTTCCCTTAATGTGGATGCGCTACCTTGACTTAGAGCCCCAGGAAGCATTGGGAAAATTACTTTGATTCTGGGGAGTAGTTATTTCAAAATAATGGCAGCTGAGCGTCCACAATAACCCTACTTTGAAATAGCAATTTCAAAACAGGAAGAACTTAAAAAACAACAAATAGTCTAGTAGCACTTTATAGACTAACAAAACAAGTAGAGGGTATCATAAGCTTTCGTGGGCACAACCCACTTCTCAGATGAGTGGAGTATTAGAAGTCCAGATCCAGGAATAAATAAGGGAAGGGGGTGGAGGGAAGGAGGAAAAAAGAGTGGAAAAAGGAGGGGAAAAATAGAGAGACACAGTGAATAGATGGTGCAAGTAGTTACAAGATGCTGATAAGAACAATTAACCAACGAACCAACCAACTGAGGTGCTAAGTCATTAGGATGTGGAAGGTAGTGTATGAGCCAGCCAATGTCCTTGTTCATACTATTTGCATAAGAATTAAATGTGTAAATGTTCATTTACAAGTTATACACTAGCTTGGCTACCCATCTTAAAATTTTGAAATAGGCATTACAGGCAGTCCCCGGGTTACATACAAGATAGAAACTGTAGGTTTGTTCTTAAGTTGAATCTGTATGTAAGTCGGAACTGGCGTCAGCCGCTGCTGAAACTGATCAGTTTCAACCGCGGCTGAATCTGGACGTCAGTTCTGACTTACATACAGACTCAAATTAAGAAACCCAGGAGTCCCCAAGTCAGCTGCTGCTGAAACTGACCGGCGGCTGATTCCAGGAAGCCTGGGGCAGAGCAACTCTGCCTCGGGCTTCCTGTAGTCAGCGCTTGTCAGTTTCAGCAGCGGGCGG